TACAGTGGGATTTGAACCCTAGACCTCTTGCATGGCGGTCCGACAACCTAACCACTACACTAAGATCGCCAGACCTCTATTTTAAAATTTTTATATGATAATATTGTATGATCTGTTTTTAGAGCAGTGCTGAATAAACAGGCTATATTATTTTAGTTTGTTGTTTATATTTTTTCACCCATCACATCAGCCTCTAATAATACTTGCATATAATATGAGAGTGTATATACTATGGACTGTTATGCAGTATTGTAGTTCACTCTACTAACCTATTATATGAAAAGGTTATTGCACGGTCAGGGTGAGTTAAGGTATAAATTATTATGTTGTAAATTAGTATCACACAAGGTTTTATCGGCGTGATAGCCACACAAAGATATTAACTTTGCATATGCACTGATAATATATGTTAGTTTTAATGATGAAAATTTTTATATTTTGAAATCTAACATATAGCAATTTTTTTTTTTTTTTAGTTTGATAGTGCTTTCGAAGGCGTATGTTCCTTATTTGATATAGGAGCAATTAAAACAGATAAGGAACAACCATTTGGTTCAAAACAGATTCAAGACAATATTGGGAAGTTGAAAAGGAAACTCAGGAAAAATACCACTAGTCTTTATCAACATTTACTCTTGAAGGTAAATGAAACTTCTGTTTAAGAATTAACTTAGAAAGATCCTTTGGCTAGTCAAATTTTTAGAGATAATGCCCTAATTATAGACGATTTATGTAAAAACCAAAAAACAAAAGGCCTACACAAAGCATTTATGGTATATATTTATTGTCGCGGATGATTGTGAAATCAGATGATAGTGAAATTTAGGGGTCTCGATTTGAAAATATAAGCCCTACTAAAATCCATCTATACTCTTTTACTAATAACTCTAATCCTAAATCCTAACTTAACTATAAAAAAAAAGCTGACAAAAAAGGCTCCAAAAATTTTTAAAAACCATATATAAAATAGATCCAAATTTCACCATCATCCGATTTCATGATCATCCATGACATTTATTATTAAGCAAAATAATTCCTGTAAATTATTTCTAATATTTTTCGCTATAGTCTTTATTTTAGAAACCGGTCAGAGAAATGAAGCCTACACTTCCGTTAAGTGTTAAAAATAGGTGTAAAGAATTTGTATCAAGCTTTTCTGACTATAATTATAGCAGATTTTCAAGCAAGTTTATTCATAATAAGACATGGAAAGAATTTGAAAAGGAAATTTTATTAGTCGTAAATAACATTTTTAGTACTATAGAAGACGTGTGGAATAATCTAGCTCTTAACTCTAAAACGGCTAGAGCATTAAATGAGGGAATTTATCAGTCTACTGTTATTGTACTATTTATTCAAGCTGCACTAAAAAATCTTTCCTTTAGATTGTCTTCATTTATTAACACGTCAGAAAGAGAAAGTCTTGCTAGTGCGAATAGAAAAGGAGACGGTCAAGTGGGAAGACATCCCGATATCATGTTTATGGTGAAACATTTGGATATGCTCTTCGAAATTATGTATGTCGAATGCTCAAGATTGGTTTATACACCTTCAAAAAAGTCAGATGATGATATTAAGTTATGAAGAGAGTGTAATGATGGTATGTATTATACACAAAAATTTCTTAATCCAGAAAAAAACCAATTTGGAATCGTTGGGATACAAATAGCAGGAGATACTTTACATCTGAATGTTCTTATCAGGGATACAACAAATATTCATAAATATTATAATATAGAAACAGTAAAAATCCCTGTGCAAAAGTCAGATGAGACTATCGTAATTAAATTTGTAGAAACTCTTCTCTTTTTACGTAACATATTAATTACAAATTTGTCTTTACTATATTATGGATCAGTGTGTATATCTGAAAGGCAAAAGGAAGGCAGTACGACTATAGATACTGAATAATATTCTTTCTTTCCTGTATTTTATTCTTATCAATAAAAAATTAAAACCTGACCTGATTTTGTATAAATGATGTATTTTTGGAATTTATTGCTATTGATATTACGTATATATAATCGTAAATTTCGAAGCGTTGTATGAAACTAATTTGCATTATAGTGCTATTTTTTTTCTTTATTACTATAGAGACTAATCTAGAAAAACTAAGTTTTTAGAAAACTGGTAAATAATTGAAAGCCTGTTAATGCACTCAGAAAACAAACTAAATACGAAAAATAATTGAAAGTTTTCTTTGTACAGTGTTCATATATTTGTAAATTTTATTTTAAATTTAATAAAACATTATTCAGGTTTTGAACTTTCTATTTTTTATAGTATACAATTAATATAAACATCATAACTTGCAATAGTGTAAAAAACAAATCGATCTTCATTTTTTTGTCTAATATAACCAAGTTTTTGTTAGTACAAGCAAATCTGCCTTCTTTATTATCCCTTCTATTACTACACTGCATATTAGATAAGCCGTGCTAGTCTTTCTTTCTAGCAAAATACTTTGTTTAACAAAATTATGACAAACCAGATCTGCTAATGCTAATTCTGCTAGTGTTTTAGTACATAATATGGTCGGTTTTTTTCAATTAACCAAGTCTAATAAGTTTAATTTTCTACTTTGAAGTCGTGCATTATTTAAGCAACAAAAAACTTCGACTACATCTAAAGGAATAATTGCCTTATTATTGTTTTCACATAATACCTTAACAACATTTAGTAGGTCTAAAATATCCGTTAGCGCATTATCTTGTTTTACATTATCTTTTACACGTCTAATACAATTATCACATGAATTGCAAGTTGGTGGAACCAGATCACTTGGCCATGTGTGGTATTGTGATACTAACTGGAATCAGCACTTATAGGAGGTAAGACAGTAGTACATTACCTCAAATAACTTATGTCGTGCTTTGGCTAGATAAAGTTCTCTAGTTGCTGTTTGTTCATCATAATCTTCATTACTACAATTAGAGTATGATTAATAAATAAAATTATTCAAAAAATTCTCAATGTAGCGATATAACAAATTACCTCTCTTTATTATTTGCAATAACAGAATAATTAGTACGAATATCCTTGCTAGAATAAAGAATTACGCATCTGGAATTTTGCTTATCCTATCTAGCTCGACCCGATTCTTGAATTAGACGAGCTATTTATGAAGATATTGAATATTATTGCTTTTAATAAAATTTTACTTATCAATATACTTACTCATATCTATCAGAAAATTATAATGCAATACTAGATGAACATCGGGCATATCTATACCCATCCTAAAGGCTGATATTGTGATCATCAAATGTGTTTGACCTGTAGTCCATCGTTTTATCACATTATTCTTTTCACTATCTAGCAATTGACCGTTATAAACATCTATTATTTTTTCTATCTTTTGATCTAACACCTCAAATACTTCAAAACAGTCCTTGACGCGAGCGCAATAAATTATTGTACAACTAGTTTCTTCTACACTATCAATTAAACTCACTATTTGGTCTACTCAAGCAGCCTTATTGTCTTTTCGACTTTGAACTGAGAAACATAGCTCTGGATGTGATAAATCATTTTCCCTTACAACCCTAAAGTTGTTTTTATCAATATTTAAATCATTCCGAAGAGCTATTGCATCATCATAAGATAAAGTTGCAGTAAGAGCTATGATCCGAATATTAGGAAAATATCATTTTAACCTTCCTAAATTTCCTCATTCATTTCTATCAAAAAGATTTTTAACAGACAATTTGTTAATAATTTTAATCATTTATTCATATTTATCTTTTTCTTACCTAAAGTGATGAAAATCAAAAACATAATGGGCTTCATCAATTACAAATTGCAGTTTTTTGTTATTATGTAGGCGACTACATAATTTCATGAGTGACTGTTTAAGTAATAGCTTCTCAGGAGTGACATAAAGTAAACAGATGAATCCAAGAGCTATTTCTTCAAAAATCTTCGTTTCGTATTCAATTGTCCCTTAAGAAGATGCTAGCAAGTAACCACACGGAATTCCTAGTTTGATTAAATCATTCTAAATGAAAATTTGATTAGATATACGATTGTTATTTATTGAATTTTTAATTAGATTTATATATATACCACTTGGCTTGAATCAAAGATTTCAACAGTAAAATAACTATTGTTAAGCCGTTAAAGAGAATAGCGGAAGCCGCATAGCAAAAAGATTTTCCACTACCAGTTTTCATAATTATAAGCGTATCTTTTTCATCTTCTATATAATATTTTATTGTATCTACTTGTTCTGGTTTTGGAAATTTAAATTTAAAAATGTTTTCTGCAATTATTTTAACACACTGGGCTAAATCTTGAGGTTGGTTTATTTCACTTTGTTGCATTTCATTTTCTATTTTATCTACTAATATTTCATTTTCTATTGCATCTTGTTGCATTTCATTTTCTATTTTATCATCTTGTAACATTTCAACATCTATTTCGTCATACAATATTTCATTATCTCTTTCATCTTGTAACATTCTGTTGCCCATTTCATTTCATATTTCATTCGAAATTAAAAATCTCTTGTTCCAACTAAATAATTGATATGTATAGCACAAAGCGCACATACCCTTAAAGCATTTTTTAAAAATGTGGCATCCAATACATCTTATAGTTACATTGAAGTCTACAATCAACAGAGCAAAGGATGGATAAAACTCATTATTGAGTAGCCATTCTCGCACTTTCTCTTTATATGGTACTAGTTCCTGTATATTAAAATAATACTGATAAGCAATCATTAGATTTTTAGAACTATATAGTGTTAAGCTATTAAATACCTTGTCGAAATCGAATTCCACCAATTCCTTATATTCATTGGTATATTTATCAGACCTAGCTTGGTTATGCTCACGAATTTTTTCTACATTTAATTTTTGTTGGGCAGAATAGCTACTTTCTATCATACTAATATTATATATATCTTCTGATTCAAAAGGTTTTCCACAGTATATTTCTCGGATTTCAGAAAATAAGTGAGTATACCCTTCATTATAATGTAAAACTGCCAATGCATGCCTAGCAGCATATGACTTCCAGTAGTCAATTTTTTTATCTAGATATACTAATTTGACTCTATTGAATGCCTTATTTTGAGACGTTCTATTTAGTGTTACAATCCTCTAACCTTTAGGCAAGTGAAAATTCGACTCAAGAAAATTTTTGAATGCATCAATCTGGCTTTTAGACGAATGACAAAGAGTAGGCTCTTGCAAAATTATTGTTGGGTCATCTTTGATCCAATATACGTCTGACCAACAGTGTGAATGATTATTTTGCAGGTGATTAATGAGACCATTTATCTGCATTGTACGTGTTTCATCTTCTGATAGAGCATTTTAATTTTTGGCTTTTCGCACTGCTGCAGAAAAAATACATCCACAGTACCAATGCATTATATGATCTTCGAAGACTTGAAACTGCATGTTTTTGTCACCTGATAACAATAATAATTTAGATATATTTATTATTGATACTTTCGCAAAAAATGTTTTTTTCATACACTTACGACGTAAAGCATTTTTAATATTTTTGATTAGATATTTTAGATCAGCAAAAATGTTTTTTACAATAGGAACTTTTGTAGGGTCTGGCACCCGTAGCTTAGTGGTTAAGCTGCCAACCCTTCATGGACAAGGTCAACGGTTCAAGACCGACTGGA